TTTATTGTTGTGGTTGTGGTTGTTGTTGTCGTAGTTTTTTATTATCGATTTTTATATTGAGAAATAAATATGGTAATAATAATAATAATAATTATGGAAAGGTGAAAAGTTTAAATTTTTTTATATTTTTTTTTTTAATTAATGAAATATTTATTTATTTATTTATGTATTTACGTGTGTTTATTAAAATTTTTCTTTTTTTCCCTCCTCGGTTCGCTTCGTTTGCGTTTTTTTTATTTTTTTTTTTTAAACATTTTTAACGTGAATAATTATAAAAAATAAAAATTTATCATCATCATCATCGTCGTCGTCTTCGACGTCGTCGACGTCATTGCCATCATTATTATTATTATTATTCGTAAAAGAAGAAAAAAAAGGAAAAATTTATGCTCGAGCGTAAAAAAAAAACTCGATGTATATGAATTATTATTATTATTACTATTTTTGTCGTGGCGACATTTAAAAAACGACGAGATTTATTGATAATTTTTTTTTTTTTCGAGTCATGACAAACAGGAACAAACGACAAACGGCGACAAACATTTAAAACTTAATTCGTCCTTTTTTTTAGCGACGCCGCAAATCGAAATTTTCCATTTTGTTTGTTCTAAAATGACGAGAAATATTTTTTAATTATTATCATTATTATCATTTTTGTTTCAGATGACTGAAGAAATTCCAACGGAAATGAACGTTTTCATACCTCCCGTACCTCCTCCTCCTCCTCCTACCGCTCCTTCCGCTCTCCCATCAGAACAATTATTAACCAGCTCATCAACTGCTATACCTGCTAAATCTTTAACACATTTGCCAAAGCGTCCACCTGTTGATATCGAATTTAGTGACATCACGTATACCGTACCCACAGCAAAAGGTAAGCATTATTATTATCATTATCATCATCATCATTATCATCGTCGTCGTAGTCGTAATTAAACGTTGCGTAATTTACCGTCACTTTTTTATCCGTCAAAAAAAAAAAAAAAAAATTAAAAACCGTCAAAAGTTATGTAAAAACTTATTTTTATTCATTTTATTACCATTATTATTATTATTATTATCATTATCATTATCATTATCATTATTATTATTATTTAACTCGTATTAAATATAAAAAGTAATGATAATGATAATAATTATAACGGTTTTTTTTTT